GAAGCCTCATTCCCCACAACTCCAGCCACCTCACACTCTCTCCCAGACCCATTTAGGTGGTCAAAGTTTTTTTTTCTCATTATGCACTGTGTGCTGCAGGATTTTTTTTATACTGCGCACACTGACCACATAGACCCATTCTTTCGTATGTATGCCTACCAGCTTTCTCCCACTAGATTTGAGGGCGCTAGAATTTAGGCGTACTAGTACGTCATAAACCATGGGTCGTAAGCCGTACTAGAATGACCGAAACCCTCAAAGGGTTAATAATAAATATTTAATGACCCAATTACTTTATGTGAATGTACTGCAAACTGCCCACTACTTTTATGTTCCACTGTTTTCAAGTTTTAGTGTTGTTCCAGCAAGGATTCCACTAAAAGAACTGTTTAGGGAATCTGATCAATCCACAATATTTTCTTTGCATTATCACTAGGAATGGTTATACTTTACCAACTTTTCAAGTTCGTGGATATGCATTACAAAAGAACTTTCATCGAATATCTGTACAATTTTACTGATTATGTGTAAGCTGCAACAATATCAGTTCTTCTGTTTATAAATAATCTATGTGAGTTATTCAAAACTAAAGTATATATCTAATCACATAGATTCACAAAAAATCAAAGCTTAAAGCTCTTTTGATATAATACTTACCTCTATCTTCCCTATTACAGTCCTCAACATGCCAAAGAAGTGTAGAATTGCAATTATATTCAAATATTTCTGGTAAATTGTAGTGTATTGTACAGAAAATTAGCTAAGGCAAGTGTATTTTACCAGCCCTCTTCTAAACAAACATGTGAGTAATGGCAGCAGCCATGGCCTGAATCAGAAATTCATACAAGTACCTCTCAAGCGACCTACAGATTTATGTTACAAGTTATTTGCTCCTGTAAAATGTGAATGAATGAAGCAAGACTGCATTATGATTGTGCATATCTAACATTTACAGTAAATGTAGATTAGCAGCTCTTATATTGTATGCTAAAGTCAACAAAATAAATTTCACTACTGGGGAGAAATTGAATCTTTTTCTCGTGTTTCTTTTCAGGGGGGAGCCTTGATGCTGGTAATGGGATTTTCATTCAAGGAATTAAAACTACCATTCCCTTGCTTGGATTAAACTTGATTACCTTCCATTTCCCAGGTCATCTATGATCATAAAAGGTTTAGTACGTGCCATATACAGCCTCTCCTCACTTAATGACGGAGTTCCTTTCCTAAGACCACGTTGGTAAATGAATTCATTGCTAAGTGAGGAGCATACTATAATGGTAGTGGGTTTGTGTCAACCATCTTTGATATTGTTTTGATGTCAGTTTTGCACCATTTATAACATTTCTGGAATACAGTGAATCCTGCCGTTCGGCAGCCAAGACTTTCATGAAATCCGACTTTCGGCAAGTTTTTTCGGCAAAATTTAGCCTCGTGGTTCGTGATTGGACTCGTGATTCGGCGACCTTCTGGGAGGCGTCTGCTCGTCAGAGTGCACACAAAGCCAGTCTCCAGTACTATTCACACTCACTGTGCCATTGTTTACCAGCATGTGACCATCACCCCACGGGTTTATACAACACATTTCATAATAATTCATTGTTTTTTGCGCTTGCAACTGCTAAATAAGCCACCATGGGCCCAAAGAAAGCTCCTAGTGCCAGCCCTTTGGTAAAGGTGAGAAACATGATAGAATTTAAGAAAAAACTCTTAGCACAGTACTAAAGTAGAGGAGGAAGAGAGAGGGGAGAATGTGCCTTCTGCAGTGATTCAGTGATTCTACAATATGTATGATACTAAAGCAGCAGGTATCAATAAAGGCTGTAGCTCCAGCCAGCAATAAAGTGTAGAATTAACAGTGTAGCAAGTAAGTTAAGTGAGTAAGTGATAGAAAAAAACATGAGAGTAACTCTCCAATGTTGTTGGATGTGTATAGGACCACTGAACATACACTGCCCTACTATCTTCCACCACTCTAAACCTCTGCCAACATCTTCATCAAACTAACTAATTAAACTAACATCTCCTCCAAGGTAAGTGTAAATATAAAAGTGTAAGTATAAAAGTAAATATAAGTGTAAATATAAAAGGACATCAATGGAAATATGTCACTCTTGAATATTTTGGGTTATCCTGGGTACTTTACACATATGCTGCTATGTATGATTTATTTATTTATTTATTTATTTATTATTAATTTGAACATGATACAGTGAAGTACAAAGGAATACAGTTATTACAGTGCAACATGCCAAAGCCCCTTGTATGCAGAGCATTATGGGCAGGCTTAAAATTAACTTAAGATTAACTAAGCAATGATATATTCAGTGGTAAAAACATTATTGTAAACAGATAACAATTTAGCACAAATGAGTATTACAAAGACAGGTCATATGGTCATTTACTGTGTTGCTGAGCATTCAGTAGAATGAAGTATTCTGTTAGGTAATGTAATTAAAAAAAAAGTTTGATTGGGTCTCAGGTTAGACATTTATGAGATACAATAATGAGAAACATTTACGAGATACAATTTATGAGATACAATTATTCAGTATTTATTTAGTTGCGGGCGAGTAAGTAATTTTTAAGAAGAGACTTGAATTTATAAATAGACAGTGTTTCTTTTATATTCACAGGTAATGAATTCCAGATTTTAGGGCTTTTTATGTGCAGTGAGTTTTTGCATAGCGTGAGATGGACTCGAGGAACATCAAAAAGTGATCTGTGCCTTGTGTTATGGTCATGTGTTCTGTTGAGGTTGGTAAGGAGACGTTTGAGGGGAGGGTTTACATCAGAGTTAAGTGTTCTATGAATGTAGTAGGTGCAGTAATAAGTATGGATGTTTTGTATGGAGAGTAGGTTTAGAGTTTTGAATATTGGTGGAGTGTGCTGCCTGTAATCTATGTAACTGTATTTGTGTATACCTGAATAAACTTACTTACAGTGGAACCTCAAATATTGAACTTTCTTCAGCCCAGAAGGCTGTTCGAGTGCCTTTACCGAATGAATTTACTCCCATCAGGAATAATGTAAATTAGATTAGTCCATTTCAGACCCTCAAAAATACACTTATAAAAGCACTTACAAAAATACACTTACATAATTGGTTGTGTTGGGAGCAGTTTGATTTTTGAGGTTCCACTGTATTTATAAATTAAAATGTAAATATTTCTTATTTATAAATAAAAATATAAATATTTCTTATTTATAAATTACATACATTGTTTAAGTGTGATGGTGATCAAAGCCTCCACTGCCACCAACAAGGCTTCTCTCAGTGGAGGCCCTTAAACCCAACAACATCACTTTACACCATTTACTCCTCTCATACATTATGACATATTTTATTCATTCTATAGTATATATCATGTTTCTATGATAGATAAATAAGCCGTAGAGATGATATTAGCGTCATATTGAAGCATAATAAACTCGCCTTCCTCTTGCCTCCTACCTACCTCCTACACCAACAAGAATCAATAAAGGTTAAGTGTGATGTTAAATGTTCATTTATCCATCTTATTAGTGCTTCATATTTATTTGTCATTGTTTTCTGTATGTAAATCTATATTTAATCTTTAAAAAAATTATTTTTTGTTAATACTTTTGGCTGTCTGAAGCTGATTAACCCTTTGAGGGTTTTCGTCGTACTAGTACGTCTTACGCGTAGGGGTTTTTGACGTACTAGTACTCATAAATTCTAGCGGCCTCAAATCTAGTGGGAGAAAGCTGGTAGGCCTTCATATGAAAGAATGGGTCTATGTGGTCAGTGTGCACAGTCTAAAAAAAATCCTGCAGCACACAGTGCATAATGAGAAAAAAAAACTTTGACCATTTTTTTTAATAAATCAGCGACTTTGCAGTGTATTTTCGTATGGTATTTATTGTTGTATTCTAGTTTTCTTGGTCTCATTTTATAGAATGGAAGACATATTACAGAAATTGAGATGATTTTGACTGGTTTTGCAAAGAAAGGTGCCTTGAAATTGAGCTCAAAGTAGCAGAAATGTTCGATTTTTACCAAACTTCAAAAGTAAACAAATCGTGCCAAGCGTGCAATACAAGTCAACTGGTGAGTCTAATATTCTTTCACAAGTGTACCAATAATATTTATACCATTTTTTACACTAATGCAGTAGTCTGCATAACAGTAAATCTTATATTTTTTGTGAAAATAAAAATTCAAAGTGGAAAGCAAAAGAATATAAGAGGGGCCTTGAGACGTGACTAATGACTAGAGGAAATGTCATTCTAGTGCCAGGAATGTCTTTCTTGTTTATTCTGGACCCTATTCGGAAATTGGCATCTTTTGAAATTTGTGTGAAATTGGCAAAATTGCTAAATTCTGACCACTGTACTGGATAGTTGAATTTCATAAATGAGTGGTTTCTTGCACCCATTCGATAGAAAAAATGGAGTTCTAGCGAAATATTCATGTTTTTTGTCGACTAGTACAGTGAAATTGGCCGAAAATGGGGCTCAAAGTGGGCAAAATCGCCGATGCGTTAACATCGCCGAGACTGCTAACTTTGCGAGAGCATAATTCCGTAAGTTTTCTATCAAATTTCAAACTTTTGGTGTCTTTATGATCGGGAAAAGATTCTCTATCTTTTCATAAGAGAAAATAATTTTTTTTTTTTTAAATTTGGCCGACCCTGAGAACAAGTTTCGGAGAGGGCCTGTCAACCCTCAAAGGGTTAATTAGGTTTCCATTATTTCTTATGGGGGAAAATAGATTCGCCAATCGTGAATTTCGCCAGTCGGCAGACTCACTGGAACAGATTAATCACGAAACTCGGGGGTCCACTGTATTTTTAAATGTTTATACAGTAGTGTACTATATACTGAAATAAACAGGATAGAGGAAATCAGCTCTATACATTATTTAGGTATGAATACTGGTTATAGAGCCCATCATAAGTCCAAGTCGTCAGTAAACGAGTACGTCACTAAGTGAGGAGAGGCTGTATTTATTAATAATAACAAAAAAAAATAATACTCACATGTCTGTGTTGTGAATACCCATACCACAAAAGATGGCGAATGCTTCAAGGAAGTTTTCATCATTTCGAGTGAAAGGAAGATTATCAAACTTGTTGATTAGTTGCACAACACCGACAGTTTTCCCTGCAGTGTTTTTAATTGGCATACACAGAACAGATCGGTGACGGAATCCTGTGTTCTCATCCACTGAGGGATCAAATTTGGCATCTTGATACGCATCGGCGATGCATACAGTCTGTTGAGAAAAGTAATGTATATAGAATAGTGTGTCAATAATTTTCAAAACAATAAGGTAATAAACTGTAATGATAAATCCAGTTACAATGAAATAAGGTTAAATGAGCAAATAATGCTTTTTGTATACCCTTAAGGTAAGGCATAATATTATTATAATCAAAACTAAGCACTAAACCCACCAAGGCCATATAGCACTGCAAGGTAAGGCACAAATTAAGTGCTTTTATTCATCATAATAAAGATGAAATGATATTTCTGTAAATAATAGTGTGCCAAATGTTCTAATATTTTAAAAAGGCTATCTTTTTTTTTTTTCTCAATACCGTACTACAGTGGACCCCCGACTTATGATGTTAATCCGTTCCAGAGAGCATATCGTAAGACGAAATTATCGTAAGTCGAATTAATTTTCCCCATAAGAAATAATGGAAATCAAATTAATCCGTTCAAGACACCCAAAAGTATGACAAAACAATTTTTTACCACATGATATATACATTTTTCTACACACAAAAAGAAGGATACATGCACAATATATATTGTGCATGTGCTAGTGTACTAAGTGAAGAATAAATGACACTTACCTTAATTGAAGATGTAGTGATGAGTGATGAGACACTGTTTGTGGCCTGAGAGTGCTTTTTCCTCCTGAGTAATGTAGATCCTGTTTGGCATTTTCTTCCAGAACAGGTCTTACCACACTGTGTATGTCACTATGATTCTTAAATCTCTCAAACAAACCTTTGCTGGCCTTAAATTCACCAATATGAGTACTAATTCCAGGGATTTTCTCCTGTTCACCTGGGTGTTAGTCGGCTGGTGTGGGTCGTATCCTGGGGGACAAGATTTAGGACCCCAATGGAAATAAGTTAGACAGTCCTCGATGACACACTGACTTTCTTGGGTTATCCTGGGTGGCTAACCCTCTGGGCTTAATTATTTTCTCGGTATTCTCGATAAGCCACACCAACAAGTCTCTCCACATCTTTGAGTAGTACAGCTGACCATGGTGCAGCAGCAGCAGCAGCTGACAGTGGTACAGCAGCAGCAGCAGGTGATGGTGCTACAGCAGCAGCTGACCATGGTGCAGCAGCAGCTGACCATGGTACGATAATATTTCGATAGTATTTCTCACCCTTTTTACCACAGGGTTGGCACTAGAAGCTTTCTTTGGGCCCATGGTGGCTTATTTAGCAGTTACAAGCACTAAAAACACTGGAATAATATGTATGCATGCAACCGTCCACCCCAGCTTGTAAATGTCACACTAGCTCAGCTGAGGCGCTTAGGCCAGACAGACCAAACAGCCACGTTCGGGATGAATGATGTAAGTCAAGCTTTTCAATAGGTCGGGGTCAAATTTTTATGCTGACAAGCATTGTAAGTTGGTTTTATCGTAGGTTGAGGCCATTGTAAGTTGGGGGTCCATTGTAATTGCTTTTTAATCCAGTATATTTAAGTTACATGAAATGGCATTTGATGAATAAAACATGATTTTTTTTAACAGAATTAAGTCATGTCCAGAGAAAGATTCTTGGATATACAGTGGACCCCCGCCTTACGATCAGCTCCCAACTTGAACAATTATGTAAGTGTATTTTTGTAAGTGCTTTTGTACGTGTATTTTTGGGGGTCTGAAATGGACTAATCTAATTTGCAATATTCCTTATGGGAACAAATTCATTCGGTAATGGCACCCGCACAGACTTCTGGAATGAATTAATATCCTAAGTCGGGGGTCCACTGTACTGGGAGAAACATACCTGGAAGGTGTTATGGGGATTAACGCCCCCATGGCCCAGCCCATGACCAGCTCTCGCTATATAGGCCCAGTGCAGATTTTCCTTCCCCCCCCCAAAAAAAAAAGAAAAAAAAAAAACTGGAGGCCAGTTTCAAAAACAGTGATCTAGAAACCCCATTTACATTCGTATAATTTTCATTTTAGTATTTTGTCCTAGAGTCTTATTTAAATTATTCTAAGATGAGCTGTGACACATTGGCTTATTATATTGCCACCTTTAATTAAGACTAATCATATTAACAGTCCTAAAATGGTTTCCAGTTCTTTACTGATATTTGTTCATGTTAAACCTTCATAACCATCTTATGCCAGCCATTATTCAACAGAATTGTATCAAATGCTTTAAGTTATATCAGATGTTCTAAGTTATATCAAATGTTCTAAGTTATATCAAATGTTCTAAGTTATATTAAATACTCTAAGCTATATCAAATGCTCTAAGTTATATCAAATGCTCTAAGTTATATCAAATGCTCTAAGTTATATCAAATGCTCTAAGTTATATCAAATGTTCCAAGTTACATTAAATGCACTAAATTATATCAAATGCTCAAGGCATATCAAATGTTCTAAGTTATATCACATGCTGGCTTTAGACAACACACCAGACACTCGTTAACTATGATTCTTGCCACTCTGTGCAGAGTTTACCATCCCTGTGCTGTTTATCATCCCTATGCTGTTTACCATCCTTGTGCTGTTTATCATCCCTGTGCTGTTTACCATCCTTGTGCTGTTTACCATCCTTGTGCTGTTTACCATCATTGTGCTGTTTACCATCCCTGTGCTGATTACCATTTCTGTGCTGTTTAACATCCCTGTGCTGTTCTTCTTCTTCTTCTGTTGGGTTTCAGGGCCACTGACAGCATACGCCATATCAAACCCGGCCGTCCAGTGCTAGGAGAGGGGATATCGACCAAAGTGGAAGAATGTCTTGACTAATAACTATGTATCATATGTCTCTGATACGCCCTGAGGCCAGCAGGAAGGAGCAGGTACAGGCCAATATCTCCTGATGGTCCAGAGGGCGAAACCCCTCCCCACTGAGGACAGGTAGAGTGAAAGTGTGCACCCCAAGTGTGCGCAAGGCTGCACAGAGAGTAGTCCATGCAGAGTGATAACGTGGGCACCACAGCAGGAAGTGTTCCACCATCTCAGGCTGTGAGGGACACCACGGACAGTACGGAGAGTCCATCATCCGAAGGCAGTACAGATGAGCCACCAGTCGCGAGTGCCCTACTTGAAGGCAAGTCAGTGCAACGTCCACCGAATGGTTGGGATGGCGAGCCCATGGGCAGGGGCCATTAAAGTTTGGACAGAGCCCAACACTGAAGAAGAGAGGGAGTGTGCAAGGCCCTCTTGCCACTGATGATGGATTCCCTTCCAAACAGCCCTTGTGAAATCACTGTGGCCCAGGGCAAGAGGGGTAACAGTAGGAAGTGTGTGTGCGAGGGAGGCTGCCCGATCTGCCACTTCATTGCCCCAGATTCCAACATGGGCGGGTACCCACTGAAGGGAGATGCTCCAACCTGGGCTCTGCAAGAAGCGCAGGAGGAGAGATTGTGTCCGACAAACGAGGACATGCAGTGATCGTGGATGGGCAGAGCACAAAAGTGCCAGGGAAGATTGGGAATCAGAGAAGAGAACCAATGGTTGTGGCAGAATGTGATCTAGGACAAAAGCCAGAGCCTGGTGAATGGCGAAGAGCTCCCCTGCCAGAACAGAATGAGCAGGGTCTAACCGCCACATTTGACACAGGGAGAGATTAGCAAAGAAGGCCGCAGATGATGCAGAAGGAGGGGAGGGCCGTGCCGAGCCATCCGTGTAGACAGAAAATGAAGAGCCATATGTAACAGAGCGAAACTCTTCAAATAGAAATGCAACTAACTGAGGGGGTTCCCTGTTCATGTAGTGCCAATCCAGGTGAATGTATCGTGTCAGGTCCAGCCAGGGGGGTGCCGGAGAGTGGAGAGGGGAGGGAGTCATCACAAGTGCAGGAAGTGTAAGGCAGGTCAGGGAATGCTGGGCCCTGGCTACAAAGGAAGGCTAAACCAAATGTGGGGGGACAGAGGCTGTCTCCCACATCTGTCAAGAGAGGCAACAGGGGTGAGTACAAGGCAGAGAGGCAATATGATGGAGTCGTAAACAGTTCCTCGCTGTCCTCACCGATGAGAGAGGGACTATCCCTGACTCTACCTCCAAGGCTGCGATAGGGGTGAAGGGGTGATATGCCCCCAGCATATTATGGATGGCTGAATTCTGGAGAATGTCTAAGTGATGAAGAGAGGAGGAAGAAGCCGAGCCATACACCTCACTCACATAAGTGAGCTTGCTGCGAACCATAGCTGTATAGAACTTATGAGAAGGTCTCAATCCGAACCCCACTTGGTGCCAGAGATCCAGCGCATAAGTGCAATGCGATGTGCACACGAGAGGTGGAGGGCCGCTATGTGTTTCTTCCACGTCAAGAATGGTGCATCTAAGGTGACTCCCAACTAATGATGAGAGGAGACCAAAGGGATTGGCATCTGGTTCAATGAGACTGATGGAAGAGTGGGGAGTCGGCATCTAGTAAAGCATAAGAGCTTGGACTTAGTGTCACTAACCTCCAAACCCCAGGTGGTGGCCCATGATGTTATGCATTGCAGGGCACCCTGAAGTGTTTCCTGTGCTGTCAGTAAAGCCGGGGCACTGCACATAAGGGCCACATCATCCGCACATACCAGGGTATGCACTCCCTGGATGGAAGGGAGATCCGACAATAAGACAGAGAAAAGGAGTGGGCTAAGAACAGATCCCTGGGGCACTCCCCGGTATACAGAATGGGGTGAGGACAAAGCACCACCCACTGCTACACGAAAGGCCCTCCCTTGCAAAAAGTTGCGCATCCAGCAGAGGGGAGCTCTTGTCAGCTCCATGCGGGCCAGCTTGAAAACAATTGCTGTGTGTGATGCAGAGTCAAATGCTCTGTGTAGGTCCAAAAATGCAGCCAAAAGGAACTCCCAGCATTCAAATGAAGTGTGCACAAGCTGTGTAAATTGAAGCAAAGGGTCGAGGGTGGACCGACCTTCTTGGGAGCCACTCTGGTTATCAGGCAGGAGGCCATGTTCCTCAGTCCACCAAGAGAGATGAGTAGCTACCAGTCGTTCCAGCATCTTACCCAAGCAGGGCAGTAGAGCAATGGGCTGGTAAGAGCTCAGTTGGGTATCATCCTTGCCCAGCTTTAGAATCGGAATCAGAAGAGAGTGCTTCCACATATCAGGGAAGACACCTGTATACCAGCTGGTACTGAAAACCTCCAGCATAGCTTCTGTACAGGAGGGAGGTAGATGTAGTAAAAATTAATAAGGTAAGTTGTCCTCCCCTGGAGAAGAGCAGGAAGAAAGTTGGGAAAGTGCCCGCTGCAGTTCATGGGAGCTAAAGGGAGATGCCAGCACCTGGCAGTGAACCTCGGGTATGGCAGGTGGCAAAGGGTCCCATTTGATCACCTTAGAGAGTAGAGGAGGAGGAGAAGAAAATCTGGAGAGAGTTCCAGGGGACTGAAGAAATCTGCAAATGTCTCAGCCTTGTCTTGGGGTAAGAGTGGAGTCGCTCCTTCCCCCAGGAGGAGAAAAGTACTTACAGAACATCATCCCAACATGGAGTGGAAAAAACCCCATGCCTGACTGGCAGAGGTGTGAAAAGAAAGAGAAAAAACAGAATAAAGCCCAGGATGCACGTTTTGCTTGGAGGAGGGTTCGCCGACAAAGAGCGTCTGCCCTTCGGTAAACCAACTGCTGAGTCTGAGAGGGTTGGCACTGCCACCATGCTCGTGCTGTCCGACGCACCTTCACTGCTTGGAGGCACTCATCATTCCACCATGGAACCCGGGGGCGTGAACGGGAGAAGCTCCCGGAGAGACAGAATGAACGCGAGCCTGCCTCAAGCATGGCCCCTTGAAGAGACACGACAGCCTCATCCAGCAAGGAGTCCCGAGGCAGGCTGTAATCAGCAAGGGTCCGATTATAGTTTGTCTAACCATCCTGGGTGATTTTCCACTGTGAACGAACTGCCATCACTGGCACTGCTAAGGCTTCATTTGTAGAAGTAAGGACTGGAAGATGGTCACTTCCCATGAAGGGGCCTACAGTAGCTGTAGTAAAATATCCACACCCAAGAATGAGGTCCAGGGTAGAAACTCGCCCAGTATAAGGATCCACTCTAGTCTCCAAACCTGGTGGTGTGAGCAACGAAAGGTGAGATGCGAGGAGGGTTTGGAACAGGGTCCTACCTGTGGGATTCACCGATCCCAAAGAAATGAATGGCTCCCAGAACTGGTGCCTTGCGTTAAAGTCTCCTATCACAAGCGTAGAACCACGGAGTTGTCCAAAGTAATAGGTAAATTCACTCTGTGTAACCGACCTGCCCGGATTATAGATCAGGACTATGTTGCACCACTGAGTGCCCAAGGCAACTCTCACAGCCAGAGTTTCCAACACTCCACTCTCATAGGTTTGGAGAGAGAGGGTCTTACTCTGGAGCTGGTTGCGTACAAGAAGAGCTAGGCCACCTCCGCTCCCTGCAAGGCGATCCCTATGGTAAACAGTGAAACCAGGCATCTGAAGAGAATGTCGAGGGCATAACCATGTCTCAGAGAGACCCACCACCAGTGGCTGTACCTCAGCCAGATACCTCTGAAGGTCCGGAAGCTTCCCCAATACAGAACGTGCATTCCAATGAAGAAAAACAGAGGGGTGAGAAAGGTTCACGTGTGTGAACTAAGCACCCCAATAAGGCGAGGGAGAACTGAGAGACATGCAGTCACAAAAGAGGTGCCTTGGAAGTAAGAATGTAGCACCTCCTCCACCAGGAGGAGGATAGGATGAAGGAATAAAGCCCAGGCAGGCGAGAGTGAAAAAGCGGGACCTTCAGACATGAAAGGTCCTGGAGTGGAGACAGGCCGAGGCTGTGGTTGAGGAGAATTGGGGGGAGGGGAGTTGGCTGCGAGACGAGAGGCTCGGGGTCAGGTATGATGTCCATCTGAACTGGGTGGGGCTCTGAGCAACGATTTGATTTGGGAACTGTACCACCTCGACGGGAGGACATGTGTTGTGGATGAGGGGGGGGCATGTGCAATAACTTCCTCAATGGAAGCCGAGTCCGAGGACACCCTGAGTTGTTAGGTAACACACATATGCAACAGTGAGAATGGCTGGATTTGAGAGGGACCTGGCCTTCCAACGACAACATTCTTACCTCTACTAGTGGCCTACATCTCACCTCCTGGCAGTATATAGGCTCCATCCTGTCACTTCAACTCCATATTGTTTCAGACTATGGAACAATACTCTTCTCCAGACTGAGGGACTGACCACCTCAAAACTTCAAGGGTGATGGACTGATTACATCGTCTTCAAGTATCTTCTGCTTCTATCAACTTTTCTGTACTCGACTGAAGAAGCCTACTGTGTAGGCGAAACGTTTCGAAATAAAGATACCTAACTGTTGCATATGTGTCTTACCTAACAACCTGTCGGAATTTTATACCATTTTAATGTTCACACCCTGAGTTGATGTTGCCCCGGGGGTGGGGAATCCTCTAAAGGGAAAGAGAGGTCCGCAAGAGCCCCAAACCGATTTGTAACAGGGATATTAGCCCTCAAAGCAGCGGAGTACAGGTGCCATGTTGGTGTTGGGGAGACTCCCTTAGTGGGGGGCACTGGAGGCGAAGGAGGCAGGGACTGACGGACTGTGACTGGCTTTACAGACCGCAAGCAGGAGTTACATTCATTGAGCGAACAAGACGGGGCCCTGGCCGAGTTTGCCAAATCAAGAGCCTGGCGATATGCCGGGCAAGACCAGGAGGTAACCTTGTGGTGCCCTTTACAGAAGTAGCACGAAGCCAGGCGGGTACAGGTAATGCCGTCTTTAACTACTGGGTGAAACCCGCTGCAGTTTGCACATCTTACCTTACCACGGCAAGACAACTCTCCATGCCTGAAAAGGAAACATTTCCGACACTGGAGTAAAGGAAAAGTATAAGGAAGAACAGGAAATCTTAGATTGCCAAAAGTCACAAATTTTGGGAGAGCACCCGAGAAACATACACAAACCATACGAGATGGGGTAGGATGATTCGAGAGGCTCCAAACCTCCCGCAAACCCAAGTTGTCACCCCCCACTGTGAACCAATTTAGAGTGGATCTCCTCATCTGAGAGGGATGTAGAAATCAGTCCAATTCTGCCGTAACAACAGCCGGCGGTGAGGATTGAGGAGCGGACCTCCCAGCAGACAACATTCCACCTACCCAGGACATGAATGGCATTTAGTGGCAAATTTCTAGCCAGAAAAGCCTTACGATGGAGCCGGAGCCTTAGGGCTGCACCCCTACTGAGTTGTTGGACGCCCCCATCTATGCAAGCCTTGCCGAAAAAAGATCTACTTGTGAGGGAAAAGTAGGGGTAAGTGGGGTTAAGGTTGTTCGGGCAACCAGGAACCATTAGCGAGTTACGTTGCGCGCGCACACACCCCCCCCTCTCTGGCGGGCTGGGGCAAAACTAGTTCCTGGTGTCCGATTTGTTAAAGTTTCTACTCCTGGTAATATTGACCTTACCTGGTGTGGATTGAAGTTTGGAGAGTCACTTCGCCTCCACTCTTCTCCTAATCAGGTAGGGTGATCTACCAGGAGTATTACTGTTTGTTCTTTTCTAGTGTTTGCTGGTTACCAGTAATGATTTTGGCATTTATCATTCTTTTTCTTTCTTAAATGTTATATTATCATGACATATGGGTAACCAGTTTTATTTTTCTCTTATTTGTCAGCTCTGTTCCTGGCGTGGTCTTCCAGGATAGACGCCAGATAAAGGGGCAAGACGTGTGTTTAATAATACTTATTAACATTATTCTACAACTACCGGCCCTTACCTATTCTACTTGTGCTCCATCCAAGTGGTAGGAGATTCCAGAACATCGGATTACCATTTTCCCCAGGATAACCTACATAAATAACATCAGAGGAACTATCCAGGGCCATACCTACTCCTACCCAACTACAAGAACTGAAGGCCATTTTTTTTTATTATATTTAAATTTTAAGTAAAATTCTCAAAAATCATTTTTCTTGTTTTTCCATTATTTTCTTTTGTTCAGTAGGAAGGCGTTCCACTGACAATGGCGACCTTGCCAGGATCCGACTCTTGAAGCAACATCGTCCTGATGGTTCAACTGGTTGTGAGTATAACATTTAAGATAGAAAAGGGTGAGTTAGTTGAGGTGTCAAGTCATTACTGGTAGTCTGGTTGACTTACCGTTGTTTGGTTCTAAGGTTCGGTTTAGAAGTTTACCTATTTGTTGGACCTGGGGAACTTTGATAATAACCCCTCCTGTGTGAACCGTGTGTATTTTGCTTAGTGAAGGCTATTGAGCCCACAAGTGTATTCTTCCAGGGAGAAATATTTATTTCATTTTCTACTTTGGGAAGTTTAAAGTGTGCGGACTGTCCCTCTTTTGTAACAGACGTTACTGTTAATTTTAATTGTCAGTTGAAGTTGGGTGCTTAATATTTTCTTTTTACAAGATGGATTCTTTAGATTTCTGGTTGAAAGCGGGAAAAGGGAAATGGGATTTACTGGACAAAGCCTTGATAGTTACATTACTGCTAAAATGGCTATTGAAGAGAAAAAGGAACAGGAAAGACTAGCTCGAGAGGAGAAAAAGGAACAGGAAAGACTAGCTCGAGAAGAGAAAAAGGAACAGGAAAGACTAGCTCGGGAGGATAAAATCGAACAGGAAAGGATAGCTAGAGAAGATAGAGTTCAGGCAAGAGAGGTAGCCTTCAAAATGAAGGAAATTGAGTTAGAACAATCAAGATTGGAATTAGAAGCCAAGAAGGTAGAACTATCTAAGCAGAAAATAGATGAAGGGGTACTGGAATACCCTTCCCAAGAACCTAATATTAGGATGCCTCAAATACCACCTTTCTCAGAACAAGATGACATAGCGGCATATATTACGAGATTCGAGATTTACTGCTACTCTCTGTGACTGGCCAGTAGATTCTTGGCTACTAGGCTTGGCTTACTACTGTCAGGTTCAGCACTAAACGTCTATTCCACTCTACCCTCTGATGTTATTTCTAGTTATAGCCTGCTGAAGAAAGCTATACTCCAGGCTTTCAAAAAAAACTACTCATCATTACAGGTCGGAGTTTAGACACATTAAAATAACTCCTCATCAAAATTACATGCAATTCTTAACAACACTTTTCAGATTATTTGATTCGTGGATTGATAGTGCTGAGGTTGACCACGATTTCGAATCTTTACGAGACCTGATGGTAAGAGATCAATTCCTTTCTTCTGTAAACTCTGACTTACGAATATTCATTAAAGAACGAAACGTTCATACGGCTGCAGAAATGGCACAAGCTGCTGATATATATGCGTGCGCTCATAATAACTACCCTAAAGAGCGTAGCAGATATAAGCCTGTTGTGCCTAAGCAATCTGAGGGACCCAAAAACCCTCCGTACCTAAGAATTCCACGGCCTTCACAGTAAAGTGTTTCAACTGTAATGAGTGGGGTCATAGACGTCCCGACTGTCCTAGAAAAAAAGGTGAAAATGTCGGTAAATGTTTCACTGAATCAAACATAAACGCACCTTTTAGTGAAGGTACAGTCAATGGTATGAATGTATCAACCATTCTTAGAGACACAGGATGTTCCTGTATTGTTATCTCGAGTAAGCTTTTCCCTAACCTAGATTCTTCACGTTATAAGTCCACTAAATTAACTGACTATTTAGGAAGAAGCGATTCTTTCCAACAGTCAGATGTTTTGTTAGGTGCAAATGGTTCTCAGGATGGGTAGATGCTGTAGTTGCCCCGATAACCTCATGTTCTGTTTTGGTTGGGAACATACAAGGGGCTACTTTCCCATCTGAGAAGGACTGTTTGGAATTTGGAGTTTCCAAGGAAGGGTTGGAACCTAATATCTCTGTTTCTTCACAGATAGTTTCCAGATGAGATTCAGTTGGGTAACCTAAATCAGAGAGCTGATGGTTACAAAACTCCGGTAACACCTTTAGTAAAGTCAGTCACTTGAACTGGACAACGCAGACGCCAGTGGGAAACTACGTGGGCACAATCTATACAACAACTAGACTCGATTAACGTCGTTACCAGAGCTCAGTCTAAGGTAAAACCTATCCACCCATTAGTTCTTTCCAAAGGAAAGCCAATCGAGCTGTCTCATATAGATTTGGAGGGTCTTCAAAAGACTTGTCCTTCCTTAGAGGAATCTCGGAAGTTAGCTTTAAATGGCAAGGTGACCCAGAGAAAGAAATTTTCTTACAAGTTTGAGTTCAAACAACGATCTTTTGTACAAGACTATAGTGTCTGCGGACAAGCCAATGACGTTGGTCGAAGCCTGTTAGTCATTCCGCAGGATTGCCGTGAAACTATTTTAAAGATTTCTCATGACTTGCCAGTCTCTGGCCATTTTTCACATAGGAAGACCTATAATAAAATCAAGGACCTATATTTCTGGCCTAGCATGTCCTCTGACATCTATAAGTACTGCAGATCATGTCACGTATGTCAACTTTCCACGCAGAAGGGTAGAAACTAGGAGAGTTCCTATGGTAAAGATGCCAATTTTCTCAGTCCCTTTTGCAAGGGTTTGCAGTAGATATAGTTGGTCCTATCACACCTCGCTCATCAGGAGGTCATAAATATATTTTAACTATGATTGACTACGCGTCCAGCTTCCCAGAGGCGGTACCCTTAAAATCCATTACGTTTCCCTAGAAGTCGCAGAAGCCTTATTTTCTATTTTTTCACGTGTAGGTATACCTCGTGAAATTCTGTCGGATAAAAAGGGGCTCAATTTCACTTCAGAATTAATGGAACACGTTTATCAACTTGTGGGTGTTAAACCTCTTTTCACTACACCTTACCATCCGATGTGGTAACGGAAGAGTGGAGCGACAACATGCCATCCTAAAGTCAATACTAAAAAAACTATGTATTCTTAAACCAACGGACTGGCATAGATTTTTACCATGTGCTCTTTTCGCAATGCGCGAGATTCCAAGTGATTCCCTTGGTTATTCCCCTTTTGAATTGCTTTATGGGAGACAAGCTCGTGGTCCACTATCTATTTTGAATGAACTTTGGTCCAAAGATATCAAACCTGAGGTTCAAAACAGCTATCAGTTTCTTTTTGATCTAAGGGAAAGGTTGGAAGAAACCGCCGATTTGGTCAGTAAAAACCTAGAGATGTCTATGGAAACGTACAAGACCTATTTTGACCATAAAAGTTCCAAGCGTACGTTTAATGTTGGTGATGAAGTTTTAGTTCTCCTACCTGACAAATCCAACAAATTGCTAATTACATGGCGCGGACCGTATAAAGTAGTGAAGGTCTGCAATAAGGTAGATTATATCTTGGATGTCAAGGGTAGAGAGAGAATGTATCACGTCAATATTTTGAAACGGTACCATAGAAGAGAAGTTAATCTTTGCGTAAATGCCTTTGACGAAGATACTTCTTCTTTCAGCTTGGATACAAGTGGTGATTCGTACGAATGTAGAGTTTGTATTATAGATGACGAGTCTTTTACAGAATCGAAGGAACTACTGGATATCTTAACGCATGATCCCTCACCAAAGAAGTCAAATGTCAACATTAACAACGACTTGTCAAATAAACAAAAGTCTCAAGTAAGTGCCTTAGTAAATTCATTTTCTGACGTATTCACGTCACTATTGTACACAAGATTGAATTGTCGGATCATGAACCAGTAAAGCGGAAAATCTACCCTGTTCCCGTTCACTTACGGAAAACTTTTGATAATGAGGTTGACAAACTATTTAACTTAAATATCATAGAACCTTCGAAATCAGCTTTCTGTTCACCAGTTGTTATGGTTAAGAAACCCGATAATTCTTACCGACTTGCACAAGATTTTCGTTATTTAAATACTATAACTAAATGGGATGCAGAACCCATGCCAGTAATTGATCATGACTTGTATAAATTTCATGACTGCAAATTCTTCTCGGAATTAGACATCTCCCAAGCATACCATCAAGTGCCATTACACCCAGACTCGAAACCATACACTGCTTTCCCTACTCATAGAGGTCTAATGCAATATCGCACAATGCCGTTTTGGCTTGGTTACCGCATGTGCCACGTATATTAGGCTTATGAGAATAGTTCTTTCTGATCTAAAGAATGTATCAGTGTATTTTGATAATATTTATATCATGACAAATGCCTGGGAAGACCATCTAAATACACTATCGCTTGTTTTGAAAAGACTAAGAACTCATGGACTTACAGTTAAACCACAAAAGTGCTTTCTTGGCTATCATAAGGTACAATACCTTGGGTTCATTATCTCTGATAACAACTTTTCACCACTTCCTAATAAGACCAAAGCTGTTTTAGAAAGTACGTTCCCTGCTACTAAAAAGTTATTAAGAAGTTTCCTTGGATCTGTAAACTTCTATAGAAATTTCGTACCAAATCTAAGTAGCTTAACTTCAGTTCTTACAGACTATTTGAAAAAGGGTGTCAAGGAACCTCTTAGTTGTTCTGAGGAAGCCAACCAAAGCTTCGAAGAAATTAAGAGTATATTTTCAAACCCCCCTGTCCTAAAATTACCAGATATTAATAAAATATTTTGTCTCCGAACAGATGCCTCCCATTCTGGACTCGGGGCTGTACTACTTCAATATTATGAGGAGACACCTTTCCCAGTATCTTTCGCCAGTAAGAAGCTTCTGCCCAAGAAGAAAGATATTCCACTGTGGAGAAAGAATGTTTTTGCGTTAGTATGGGTATAAGTAGATTTAAATACTACCTATACGGTTAAACCCTTTGCTTGAAACAGATCACAAGCCACTGATGTACTTGGAAAACTTTAAAGGGTCAAATAGCAGACCCCTTGAGATGGGCTCTGGCTATTTCAGCCCTATAAGTTTAAAGTCGTTTATATTTCTGGCTCTGAAAACCACTTTTCAGATTGGCTGAGCCGAGGTTGTATTTAGTGCTTTTCCCTCTGTTCGTTGACTTATTGACTCCGTCCATAAGTTTTGGAAGGGGGTATTGTGAGGGAAAAGTAGGGGTAAGTGGGGTTAAGGTTGTTCGGGCAACCAGGAACCATTAGCGAGTTACGTTGCGCGCGCCCCACACCCCCCCCTCTCTGGCGGGCCCGGGGCAAAACTAGTTCCTGGTGTCCGATTTGTTAAAGTTTCTACTCCTGGTAATATTGACCTTACCTGGTGTGGATTGAAGTTTGGAGAGTCACTTCGCCTCCACTCTTCTCCTAATCAGGTAGGGTGATCTACCAGGAGTATTACTGTTTGTTCTTTTTCTAGTGTTTGCTGGTTACCAGTAATGATTTTGGCATTTATCATTCTTTTTCTTCTTAAATGTTATATTATCATGACTATGGGTAACCAGTTTTATTTTCTCTTATTTGTCAGCTCTGTTCCTGGCGTGGTCTTCCAGGATAGACGCCAGATAAAGGGGCAAGACGTGTGTTAATAATACTTATTAACATTATTCTACAACTACCGGCCCTTACCTATTCTACTTGTGCTCCATCCAAGTGGTAGGAGATTCCAGAACATCGGATTACCATCTTCCCAGGATAACCTACATAAATAACATCAGAGGAACTATCCAGGGCCATACCTACTCCTACCCAACTACAAGAACTGAAGGCCATTTTTTTTTATTATATTTAAATTTTAAGTAAAATTCTCAAAAATCATTTTTCTTGTTTTTCCATTATTTTCTTTTGTTCAGTAGGAAGGCGTTCCACTGACACTACTGATGGTGTTGGTGATGTCCCGTGGATTGGTGAAGGGTGTACCGCCATCCTTAGGACGCACAAGAACCACCATCACATCTGGAGTAATGTGAGGAGAAGGAGCATAGTCTGGACAAGTGGTGGGTTGGCATTTTGGGCTAGACAGGGGCCTGGCACTGTCATCAACCTCAAGGACCCATTTGTTTATCCCAGTAGGGGGCACACTAGCCATATCTTGGTCTGACGGTAGTGAAACAGTTGTCAACTGAGTAGAGACAGGAGGGGGGTCCCTCCCTATTGGGGCGAATGACATCTCAGTCGAATCCCCCATAAATGGGCCACACAACACCGCCTGATGGAGAAGACAATGACAACTCAAGCACACAAGAAAAGAAAGAAGGTGAAGCAGAGCCTAAACAGGGCCTACACCACCAATAAACAACTCAGGAACCTTTAGAAAACACGTCCACACTCCACCAATGCCAGCCGAGCTCCCCTGTGCTGTTTAACATCCCTGTGCTATTTACCATCTCCTTTTCCTAGACACGGCAAAAAACATCAATGTCATTCATTCAACTGCTGTCTTTCCAGAAGTGTGTGGACATCATAATATATATGAATCTCCAGCTCATGGTGTCCCACTTATCATTCAGAGTGTCACTTGATGTATATTATATTATTACTCTGCAGTCCTATCTTCAGTAGTTAAAGGTCATATATACTTTTTTTTCCTCAAATCTTATCACTGACTTTACTACTGCAATTTGAACAATACTTTATTCTATTCTCTTTCATACTTATGATCATCCAAGAACACTTTAGAGGTCTGTAATCATACAAAAAAAGTTAAGATTAATGCCTTTTCAAACAAATATAAATGTTGTTTTACTTTTTTAATTAGCATTTATTTTTTTTTTAATTTCTTTAATAATATCAGTTGATATGTGAAATGAAATAAATCTTCAGCAAATATTTCAATTTATTAATTTCAATGTCTGTGAAACTTCAAACCATTAAAAATTTCATGAAGACTTTCAGAAGGAACAAAGTGACTTTATATCAACAGCATGTTAAGATAAAGTTAACAGTTAACCCTTTCAGGGTCCAGAGGCCAAATTTCAAAGTGTACCAGGGTCCAAGAATTTAAAAAAAAAATTTTTATTTTTTCTTATAAAATGTTAGAGAATCTTTTTCTGAAAGTAATAAAACAAAAAGTATGAAATTTGATGGAAAATTGACGAAATTATGCTCTCGCGAATTTTTATGTATCAGCGATATTTACGCAACGGCGATTTTGCTGACTTTGACTCCGATTTTAGGCCAATTACATTATTCCAGTTGACCAAATTCTTAGCTATTTCACTAGTATTATTTCTATTCTATTGACTGAGCACAAGAAATTGCCAAGTCACCTGTTTTAACTACAAAATAAAGTGATCAGAAATTGGTAATTTGGCCAATTTAACACAAAGTTCAAAATATTCCAATTTCAAAATAGGGTCCAGAATAAACAATGCAGGCATTCCTGGCACTAAACTAACATTTCCTCTGTTCATTAGTTATGTTTTCAGACTTTACAAATGAATTCCATTTTTATTTTTTATTCACATAATGAAATTTTATTGAAACCAAAAAGTACAAGTTTTATTGATATGCATTATTGTAATAACTGTAAAAATAATATCACTACATTTGTGAACATATATTGGACCCACCAGCTGGCTTGTATTAGAAGTGTGAGGTCATTTGTTTACTCTTCAACATCGGCAAAAAATTAACATTTCCGCTGCTTTGAGCTCAGTTTCAAGCCATTTCCAGTACTAAAACCAATCAAATTTATCTGTATTTCTGTAAAATAGCTTTCATTCTATCAATGAGACCAAGAAATTGCAAATACAACTATAAAAAGCATACGAAAAAACACTGCAAAGTCGCTGTTCTAATCGAAAATTACGGTCTCAGTTTTTTCTCTCATTATGCACTATGTGCTGCAGGATTTGTTTTATGTGGTGCACACATAGCACATAGATGTATTCTCTCATATCTAGGCCCAAATTTACCGCTCACAGCTTATCAGAGTGAGCTGAGCTCATGGCGTAGATCTATGCTTTAGACCCTCAACTTAAAGCCGTAGAACTACAGCACGGACCCTGAAAGGGTTAATATCTAATTCACTAAATAAAGAGTGATATATTACTTCACAGACACCTAATCTAATAAATACACAGAGTAGCAGCTCAATATCAAGAACTCAAAATCAAAATGAGAAATATTTATCACGGAGTGTTGTTTTTCTACTTTTAACTCTAACTACTCCAAGGGGAAGTGGAACAGAATTCTTTTTTTGCAAGCCAGGCATGTCATAAGAAGCTAATAAAATGCCAAGAGCAAGGAGGTTAGTAGTCCTTTTTCCTGTATAAATTACTAAATTTAAAAAGAAAAACTTATGTTTTTCTCTTTTAGGTTGCCCAGCCTCAGTGGGATACAGCCGGTGTGTTCAAAAAATACTCTTACTAGTATATACTGATAAACTTTACCTCTCCTGTTGTGGCAACATGACCAGTGATTCCGATGTTGATGGGGAATCTTGACTCAAAGGGACTAGTGCGGTTCTCTGCATCATCACCTTGTAGGTCCTTCACTTCCAGGTCGAATACCCGTGAGAAAGTTCCCTGAGAAGCTTCATGTACCAGAAGAATCTGAAAAAAAAATAGTGAACACAGTTTTTATATTAATTCATAAGTAATAAGAATTCAATTTGCCAATTTAATTAGCAGGCACAGAATGAGAGGGTAAATGATTGAAAACCTGTAATAGACAAACTGGATATAAATATCTAAGCAAGGAGGGCTCTCAGCATTAGATTCACACTGGACAAATTTAGAATTCATAAGCATACAGGAAAGGGCTGATTTAAAAATAGAGTTGTAGAGGAGTGAAACAAACTCCCAAGTAGTATTAATTAACCCTTAAACGGTCCAACCGTATATATACGTTCTCTCGCTTAGCGCCCCAAATGTATGTATACTTTTCATTTGTCATTCATTCAACATTGGTACGATAGGCCTGAGTCGCCTAGACATGAGAGGATGGGTGTGCACACTCAATGTGCACCATATGAAAAAAACTGGGGACTCTTGGGTATCACATGCTCTTTTTCCTATAAAACAAAAAACGATTTTTTTTCTCTCAAAATATTCAGGGCGCTGCGCAGGTGAATGGATATATATGTTTGGATCATTTAAGGGTTAAGAGAAGACTTTGGATGGCTTTAAATATGGGTTGGACAGGAATGTAGAGATTTTTAACCAAGCTACAATCACTGAATAATAAAAAAAACTGAGTTAAAAGGAGTGATTGAAAGAACTGAATCTCATAGAGCTTTAAAAGCAACTGCCCCGAGGGCACATGGTCACAACATATATGATACAGAACTCACAAATAATGACATGGTAAAAAATAAGATGCTGTTTGAATAAACATTAAATCAGATGAGGGCTGCAATAGCCCTACTAGTTTAAGCTAGTTAGTTCTACCCATGCCTAACTATTCTCACATATATACTGTCAGTTTCACATAATTTACTACTGTAAATAAAATCTACTGTATATAAAATCTACTCCATACAAAATTGTATTAAAAGCAAAGAAAAATTTTAAAATTGTGTATGAGGCTTAAGTAAACTTGAGTATCTCTTTAACCTACTGTCAGTATGGGACCATGGGGATCCCACCAGTAGTTACAGCAGTACTGTAGTATACAGACACCAGGAAGTGCACCCCGTAACCAGTCCAGTCATCATCTGGACTTCATGGTTTCAAAATCTTCCTCTAATGAAGGATTGATTTTTATTGTTGACTACCCAGGGCAGCATGGGAGTTATTTACATGCATGTCCACCTCCTTCCTGTACTTCCTTACTTACCAAAGATGACAAACATTTGGAATGTCCTGCATACACCTGCCTATATCATGAATGTGAATTCTGTTCACTGTTCACTGGCTGATTCTGGTTATTATGATGTTTTATATTGCCCAGCTAGACCCTTATGATGTATCTATGTAATCTTCTGGGTCGCTTCCATTGATTGTGTGGGGCTTATTTTATCTTTCCCAATATTTTGCACACAGCTTTGTTTTTCTCTGGCATTTATTCCCAGTCTTTCCTCAGAGTCTTGTAGAATTTTCCAAGCAAACTGCAGATTCCTATTTTTTGGGGCCTAGTTAGACTACTGCTGCTCAGCTTGACCATGATGTTGGCAGTAATTCACCCAGCCACCAAAGCAACTGTGATGTCCTCTTATTGATACGGCAGATATCACTTCTAGCATGCATCCTCTGTGAAAATTCCTTACGTACAGCGGGGTATGGATTCTCCGAACTGATTCTTCAATCTATTGACTCTTTCTTTCATGATGCTTCAGGGATTTTGTTCATCATCCCTGAATAAGCCTGAGGTGCACTGGTGTGACTTCATGTCTTCCTCACTGGCTCTTAGAATCAGTGTTTGCTTTCTCCCAAAAAAGCTTCGCCAGGTCAATTTTTCTACGTTTGGGGTCTTTAAGTATAGCCAGAGGGTCACTTACTTGATGCTGTTTCTGCCTCTGTCCCCTCCTCCATCACTCCGCTGATGCATGACTTTCCTGGGATACAGCCTCTCGGTTTCATAAACAGACAATCTGGCATTCAGACCTAGGCTGTGATTAACACCATTTACTTGTGGGACATCCAATTTGAGGCCTCTGCTAGTGCCTCATCCTAGAAGCTGGAATACCCCATCAGGACAGGCACAGAGAAACTTCTGATCACTATTTATCTCCATTAGGTGCTCTAGATATTGCAAAAGTGCAGTACTCATCAACTCATGTTTTCATTGGTTTTTTACTAATAGGCTATGCTTGATGATTCTCTGCTATTTGTGGGTAGGACTTTTTGATAATGCCTTGATCCAGGCTCAGAAGGAATTATTTCAGCAATACCTGCCAGTCATGGGGTCAGATCTCTTTCCTGCCCTTTTCTTGCCTTCACTGGGCCTCTCCATTCACGACTCTTGCTTCACATCATTCCCTGTCCACCAGTCTTCCATCATGTTTGTGCTGTAATGCCCATGCAGGTCAAACTGCCTCGTGTTTCCTTCTCCATTTCTTGAAAGACCAATAGTGAATATAGCAAATTTGGAATAGTATAGTAGGCCCATGCTGGGAAGAGCAAGATTTTGATTAATCAAGGTTCTGAAAGCCATGAACGTGGCTGTGCACATCTACTCAGCTCATCTACATACAGCCAGATCAAGTGGTTTTTTTTTTATCATGGATAGCCCAGTGAGGAACATATCTACAGTTGCACATTCATGAATAGCCAAGTGAGGAACGCATCATCCACAGTGCCACATTCAAGTATAAATAACTATAATGTGTGAAACTAAGCTATGTGTCAACCAGTACCACTGACAAAATAAATAAGTCAGCTTACCTGGACCCGTTCACACTGCAGAAGGCTCTGTGTGTGTGTCATGATGCGATACACCATCTGTTCTATTGTACTCTGCTCCTCGAAGATAATTCGCGCTAGATCTAGTAAGACCTGTGATGTACGGAGGAAAGGAACCAACTTAAAAACAAAAATGTAAAGGTGACTTAAATGACAGTTTTTATTGCTCATATTATTTTCTGATGCACAAGCTGTAAAGATTATATACTGTGCATTTCAGTAAGAGTATGCAATATTGACTTGTAAGGCAACAACCACTTTGTCAAAAAAACATAATATAACTTCACTGTTCAAATAACTTGGCAAAATCAGTGAGAATATCAAGAAAAATAGAATATTACATTTATGATAAAAAGAATATAAACTAAATTCAACCAAAACTTTGAATAAATCTAATAATATTTTTTACGTTAAGTAGGATTATCCAAGAGTTCAATGATAACCTTGATGGAAAATTATAAGTTGCGTACCCCCTTTTTTTTTAAATATATCTATTGATGCACAGAATAATTCTTTTGTAAAGACTAATTTTTGGGGATACTTTAGTTTGTTTTAACTATCTCTGCCTAAAAAATCAATACTAAAATTT